TCCTTACTAGTTCGGAACTGATGCCAGCAGTGGGAGAATAGGCCTCCTATTTCTTTCTGGGACTTTACAGTGTCCTAGAAATTGAGGATTTCTGGCTCGTTGGATGTGGTACAGCAATGTGGGTAATGTAGCCAAGGAGATCGACCACATCCTCGTTAGCACTTGCTGGAGGATCCTCTAGAACTGCAGGGTGTATAAGAGTGCTGAGTTCTATGGTACTGACCACATATTAATTGTGGCTTCCCTCCGAGTCAGCTTCAAACTCCCCAGAAGTGTAATAACCCACCCTAGGGTTGTTTTCATCTGGACAGGTTGAGAGAGGGGGAAGTAGGTGCCAAGATAAAGACAGAATTTTCTCTCAGGAGAAACTGGAAGCGCAGCAGATGCTTTGTCATGCTGTTTTGTTTGGAGCAGGGGATCAGGATTTTTGCATCATTCCTAAGTGGCACAGGATCCATCAGCTGCTAAGACGGGACACGTGGAGGCAAGTTTATTAGGAGTCTTGAAGAGGAGGTAGAAGGCCATTTTTAAGTAAATGCCCTTCATCTTGCATAACACGCTTATGAAAGGCTAAAACTCCAAACCCTGCTTCACGAGGTGCCTACAGTCCGCTCAGTAAGTTGGCCAGATGCATCTGCAGATCTGTTGTGTGCAGGACGCGTCCGGGCTGAATATTTTGAACAGTTTGTACCTGGTGGATCTACCAACAGTTAACTTGCATGTGGATAGTGTCGAGATTCTGTTGTCATACCTATCCATCAGTAAGGATCCACCCTCTCTAAGTGAAGTTAAGGGGCGATCTCTAAGCTGAATAGGAGCAAAGCAGCGGGTATCTGTGGCATCCTAGCTGAACTGTTAAAGGCTGGTGGTGAACCTATGGCATGGGGGTTGCATGCTGTCCTAGCTGCCATCTGACAGTCTGGTACCATTCTCCCTGACCTGTTGAGGGGCGGGGTCGTCCCTCTCTTGAAGGGGAAAGGGGATGGTTGGGAATGCATCAATAACCGAGGCATCAAACTGCTCAGTATACTAGGCTTGGTTCTCATTCACATCCTCCTAAGACGTATCAGAGACCATCTGCTGAGGCACCAGAGACCGGAGCAATCAGGATTCACTGCAGGTAAGTCCACAATAGAACGCCGTTGTGAGTTTGAGCGTAAGCTGTTTTAAGCTTACATTGACCTAAAGGAGGCATTTGATACAGTGCATCAGGAATCACTCTGGGAGATCCTAAGATTGAGAGAAATTCCAACAAGGATTA